GTAGAGGAATCTCTCTCTATAGTACTGTTTCTCAAAGGGTGGTCTGCGGATGCCCAGGGGGTTCGTGGGCTATTTTCAGAGAATCCGCGTGATCTCCCAAAGTGTTACAATTCTATTATGAAATTATATAGACGCGATCAGTCTATTTCACGAATTTATGACAAACATGCTGTGGAAACTTTTAAATCAAATCTAACGATTTACATTATAGCCTTGTGCATTGCCCATGGAGGAGGAAGCTTGTTTCGGCAGGGAGTTAAAATGTGAGCGAGCGAGGCTTTCCAAGTTCAGAAAGGTCGTGTGTTAATTTCACCGTGATGCCATGGACAGTGGCTGGATGGGACATTCTACGTCCGCTCAAGCTCACATAACCGAGGCCATGTCCCTCGAGGGGCAGCGAGAAGTGTGCCATATGATAGAGCCCAACTTTGTGGTCATTTCAAGTGTTACTATCCTCCGAAATAAGCAAACCAGAAGGAGAGGCCCGTTTGCGGGATCGCGTCCACGGAAGCTCAGAAGAAAAGCGCGGATATGTCTGTTTACGAATGTGCTCATCCGATTCCGCGAATTCGAGGGAAACTACATCAGCGACGTTACAAAAGGGTGGCTGTTTCGTTCACTACTTTACTTCTTTCTAAGCCCAGCTTATCATAGTAACCAAATTCCTGGTGTGTTTTGACTCTTGTGTTTAATTGTTCATCTCCATTGTGGTAGTTAGACATGTAACATCAACAAGGACCATGAAATGAAGAGTGGAATACTGCTAAATGTTTCACAGGAAGATTTTTCGTCGAATTCAGTTGTTGTAGTAGTTGGGCCATCTAATGTGCCTTCTGAGCATGCAGCAACTGAGAGGTGCGATGTTTCTGTGCTACCTGATGTGATGCAATGTAAGTCTGTGCCAACCGGATCCTCTGTACCAGTGGGTAACAGGCGGAACTACAACAACATTTATCTTCGTTTTGGATTTATGTAGTCCAATAATTGTCCACAAGGTGACTTGTGTAACAAAGTTCTTCTAAACATGGTGCCTATTAAAATGCAACGGCGCTTTTAACACTTCATACGGACTGTAAAGACAGAAAAATGTACTTACAGCGCATGCGAGATGAAATATTGTACACCCAAACGTATATGCTTCACGCGGCGCAGTCTGTAAATAAGCTACGGAAGCACTTTACATAATCAGTTATCGTAATGCGCTGACAGCAGAACCGAGAAACGTATCCGGCCATGCATACAAAATGCATGGAGATGACCTAAGACTCTTCCTTTCAAAAAGCTTTTCACAGACTGTCTCTGTGTGATTTCTGATGCAAAGCGAACGATGTGTACCTTGTCATGGTAGACAGCTATCGCCGTGCTTCTCCCATTCGCTACAACTTAGCTGTGTGTGATTGCATTCTCGCATTATATCTATACAAAACAAAGTACCGAAACAGACCTGAAGCGTAACGAGATACGACGTTATAGCTTTCCTCAAAAACACCTAGCATCAAACAAGTCAGTGCTGCATGTCGGAACGATTTTTATCCAAGGTACTACGCCTTAATATAGTTGCGTTTCCATGTAAGTTCAACAGCCTTTACTTTTGCCAACATCAATGAACAACTGTGCAAATTCAGTGTACAGCGATGAACTCCACCTCATTCTTATGTTATTAAAGCCTAGTTCTGTGGATAAGGAAAGTTCAGGGGTCCGTCGTGCTAGCTTACACTACAAAGGGGTGCACGTGCCGAAAAGTTTGAGAACACCTGCTCTATAGTGACACATGACATCCTGTTGGCTGATGGCGTCTGACCAATGAGGAAGCTGCTCGACGATGCGCGTATGCATCTAAGCGAAACTTTGAAACGCACCAACTTGAAAATGCTTATGAATCAAGTTGAAAATGCTTACGATCCAAGTTGAAAATGCTCACGAACCAATTTTGTTTCCTCTATTAACTAACTTGACTCGGAAATGCTTTAGATATGATTCGGTAAGCGACGGCTTGTATTGCCAACCTACTGAGCTCCTTCACCACAGCAAAGGCACGGCCACTGCAGTTCTGGCTGAGGGTCTGAACGCTCAAGTTGGAAAATTAATCCCTGATGAAATGCATTTTGGCAGCCAGCATCATTTAGGCTCCAGTAATGATAACGTCCAGAACTGCTACTCGATTTTGAGCATGTGTGGACAGCGACCATGCACTTTAATGTGCTGACACGCGCATGCGTTTTGGCGGACCCCCATGACTACGCTGTGAGCGCATTGACACCAGTCAACTGACGAAGCCAGCTGTTCTGCATGAGTATCGAAATATGTTGACATGCGAGTTGAGTAAGCGCTCACTGGAGACAATTGAAGGTCCCCAGTCGCATGTTCACCAGTCCTTACTAGCAGCAGGCAAATCCTCATGTGGTAAATCTAATAGCAAACATGGACATTGGGTCTCTCCCCGGTCTCTGGGACTTATCGATACTCGCAGGCACATTGCGGCTGGAAGCGAACACAGCGAGACTCGCAAAGATCTCAGGTCAAAACTCCATGCTAGCCTGTAGAGAGACCGCGAATGCTGATAGCCTCATCGTGCGTCAGAGATGGTGCTGGCCGCCGCCTTTTTTAACCATCTGAAGTTATTCCGTGTGGTACGGGAAACGGGCAGCGTGAGACTTGGTGTTAGTGTAACTATTCGTGATGAGAATGGACAGTCTATCCACAATTTGTGAAGACGCTTGGAGTGTTGGACTGAGTACTTTAATAGGCATTCTAATCGGCCGAAATTGGCAGATTTCTCGCCGACCACTAATCGCCCTACTCCTTGGTCAGTCACACTTTATCCGTCTTCTCGCTTAGAAGTCTAACGTGAGATCGGTGTTCTGGAGTTGAACGATGCCGCGGGACCACAAGAGCTTCCTCCAACTCTCTTCAAATTCCTGACCATGCTCTTCTGGATGAGTTACACGAGTTACTGTTGAAATTGTGGGAGCAGAAATCTTTCCTGACTGGAGCCGCTACATTGTAATCTCAATTTTCGAGAGCGGCTCACGATTGAAATGTGGCAACCATAGATGAATCAGTCTGATCTCCATCGCCTCCCAATTGTTTGCCTCTGTCACGCTTCACAGATTGACTGGCATTCGTGAAAGACATGTTCGTGGAGAGCAAGCCGGGTTTCGTCGAGATCGTGGCTCCATTGATTACATCTTCACTTTGCGTCAATTGTTGGAGCACCGTCACATATATTGGTGGCTTACCGTTGTCATGTTCCTCGATATCAAAGGTGCTTTCGATTTGATTGATGGATGTGTTTTTTGGACTGTCTACTTAAGAAAGGTGTGCGCGAGAAATATGTTAATATTATCCGAGCATTATGCGCGCATAGCTCGGGCAGAGTGTGGGCTTACGGCAAGCTGTCGCCGCCCTTCAATATCTCCAGTGGTATGGTGCTGCTCCCACGCGAACGAATTCTTGACTTGGAATATACTGATGATATCGCCCTAATCGGTGGCAGTTCCCAAACGTGCCAAGCGGCACTGGACAGATTAGCACCCTCGAAGTGCAAAGTTTTCTTCCAAGATTGGCAGGGACCACTTTCTGCGCTGACTCTTGGTGGGGATCGGCTGGAAGTCGTTCAAAAACTAAACTATCTTGGCAGTAGTATCAGTGCCCTTGTGATCGCAGACGAGATCACGAACCGTATAGCGAAAGCTCGGTGTACTTTTGCTAACCTTCGCCACCTATGGCGGCGGCGCGACATCACTCTTGCCTGAAGGGTACAGTGTACAATGCAGCCGTCCGTTCAACTCTCCTCTACGACTGTGAAACTTGGCCTATTAGATCAGCAGACATAACTAGGCTAGTTACCTTCGACCCCCGTTGCCTTCGCAGTTTGACTCACATCTGGTGGGAAGACCGCGTGAGCAATGAGCGTGTTCGACGCCTTTTTTATGGCACACGTAGAGGAAATGAACCGCTCAGCACCGTTATTTCACGCACCATGCTCCGATGGCTAGGTCATCTGTTGCGCATGCTAGCCCACCGACTCCCGCGACGTGCGTTGTTTGCGCTTCGGGGGTGTGGATGGAAGAAGAGGAGGGATGACCAAGCGACGATTTGGTCAAGAGGAATGAAGGCTCTCACTTCGAAACTGGCCTCAGTTGGAATGTCTAGGCTCCTGGTTGGAGTCCGAAAAACGATGAACTAGTTTGGCTGAATACACTTCTTGGCACCACCAGGAGCCGACCTCAATGACGTTCGTGCTGTGAGTTTCTTTGTCCCTCCCCATCTGTCTTAACCCCCCACTGCAACCGCGATCTCATTTCGTAGCATAATATAACGTTGGCAAAATAAAAGGTTTTGGTTGCATAGTAGCTGGCTGGTAACTTTCCGGAATGATGCTTATCCGTTACTAGTAGCTCAGTCCGCGTGCACATGTATGTTTTTTCTTTTCATATGTATTACAGCACAGTAGCTTAGATGTTTCCTAACTCTAGCTAAAGTGTACAATGATAATGATATAAGCTCGGCTGACCAAATCTGTTAAAATCGCTGTGATTCCGTCGTTAACTTCTTGGAGTACCTGTTGTGTGTAGAGTCTTGGAGCGAAGATGCAAAACTGCAGTCTGTACGCCCAGGATCCGCGCCCCGAATCCGGTTTACTCTCCATGAAGATTCGAAAGGATCACAAAACTAGCCATGAAGCGCAGGGCTGGATGCGGGTGACGCGACGCTTTTAACAAAGTCGAAAACCTTTGGTGCAATCAACAGAAATCGACATTACGAAAACCGCGATCCAACATGAGGATGTGCGTCGCAGCTTTTACACACAAGGCTCAATCCAAAAATGTAGCAGCGCTTTTGTATGATACTCAATCGAGGGTTTAGCATATACAATGGGTCTTATTCAGCTGTGTAATCTCTTACAATTCTTCTAAAGAGAGTCTCGTCCAGTTGATGATAATCCCACAAACCATTGATCACCCACCAATCCCTATTTCTCTAATGCTTCCTTGCAGTCGTGACTCCAGAGACCATGGCCGAAGCGCTTCACAGTTCACCCGCCCAGGCGTTCACCGGTTGCTTGCGCGATATCCGGCTGATGACGACTACGCACACAGAATCCATCCGGTTCCCCCGAGTGACAGGTCTGCTGGAAGGTGTCTGTCACACTTCAGCTGTCTGGTGAAACGACCAAATTCGGTTTACTCCGGAACTGCACATTTTCTACCTGAACTATAGCAATATTTGATTAGTATGGTTATATTTATATGTTTATATTTACAAATAAAACAACGAGTCTAATCCTCTTCATCGTTATTCGCGAGTTAAATAGGGACTTAATCAGCGGTTCACATTCACCTCTCTGTACTTATTTGTACACTAACATTCCATCCGGATAGAAGCTGTGTGACACAGAAGCACTTCATCGAGTTAATGATTTACACACGAAACTAAAGGATGGGTTGATGTTCCAGATTTCGAATACCTGCTGCCGAGTTATACAGGATTTGTTGATGGCTCGGTACGCTGCAATAACTCAGTAGGCGCAGGAACTTGTTTATCAAGACAGCGGGCATACATATTGTGTGTTGGCCACTTGCGATGCCATTCATCTATAATGGTGTATAAAGGCTAGGATAGCATAACATTTTCCCATTAGACTGCCAGGTCGAAAAGTACTGTATGGAAATATAATGTCAACAAGATGAAGCGTGTTATGTTGGGCTCATCAAGAGTTTCTCCGCAGGGATCTTTATGGACGTTGCCAGCTGCTTCCGTGGTAACCTCTGGCATTTGCGCGTCTACTTGTGTTAGAACATTGGTGCGACCCGTCGTTTGCCTGCTATCCTTCGAGTTTGCCGTTTCTATCATATTACTTACTCCTACCGCGATAGTAGTTCATTTTTGGTGCATCACGACGCACATAATGAATTATGAACAATGATTTATAAGGGGCAAAAATGCATTGATGTCTGGAGTGACGGTGATAAAATGATTGTTTAAACTGACAGGAATAAAGGAAAGATGCTAGTTTGAGATTACTCACAGAGTTATTAACATGTATGCATGCTAGTCTGATCACCGCTACGTAGAGGAGAGGACTGGTAAACACACTGCTGAGGTTACTGCTCCTTTCTTTGGAATCAGAATTTATCGCGTAATGCAAATGGGATAAAATGTGGTCCAATCGTTACTGTGGGGACGAAAATAACGTAAGAACGAAGTGCCTTCCACGGTTTGAATACTTGAATGGAGAAAACGTTTTGTCGGCAATCAAGTCGACTGTGGTGTATGGTCAATTTGAGCTGCTGGCCTCTCAGGTTGGTATTGTGGCTGACTTGTACCAGATCGCGGAAAGCGTGGTTGGGTTAGTCAGTATGTGGTACACGGTAATAAGGTCTCATCGCAAGTGTCGGTATTCGCCGCTGTACAGTCTGCAATCTGTGTTGGTAAGAGAGGTGAAACAGTCCACTAACACGTTTTGTTGCCCCACATTGTAGAGTTTCCAGTGCAGCAACATCGTGTTTGCGCCAGGATCGCCAAGCTCCTGGTGGGGCCTCACGTAAGTGTTCAGCATGTGCGGGACTACTGATAGCTCAAAATTCCCGTACGCCCTTCGTAAGCAGACAAGGTATTGACTGGCTCTTCTCGATGTCTTCTCGGTCTGTTTTGAGCAATAAATGTCGTCCTGCACGAGTACTCTAAGGAGTTGAGGCGGGATTTCGAATTGCTACTCACCACCAGCTCTGGTGAGGATGGTAGAGAGCACCAAGGGGAGCCATGCCACCATGAGTCCCTAGCTCTGTTATAGCGCGCAAACCAATGTTCAAAAGCCGCCGTATTTTTGATTGCTATGTATACTGTGTGGTTGGATGGGTCATCTCGTTTAGAAATGGTACACATCTGCGACTTAACTTGGATACATTTCACAGTGCATGGAAGCCCACCTAGATTGTGAGCACAAATATCATTTGTTTATGGAAATTTAACCCTTGTGCCCGAGTTGTATTAACGCGAATTCAGCTGGATTTTGTACACCAAACTTGGTACTCAGGTCCCACTATGCCGTAGTGTTTCCTGGCAATTTTAGATGGATTTCTCTAATGCCGGGAGACTCTAAAATTGCATAGTGTTTTGTCAATGTGTATGTTCCTTCGTATATTCTACAAACTATGAGATAATAAGCGATGTGCCAGCTAGATCCTTTGTGATCACCTTAGCCGATGGATCAAAATACCATTAGAATCAGGCCATAATTTGCGTGTTTTGCTTGCCATGATATACCTAGAAGCTCATCAAGCCTGAAAACTATAGGTACACTTAAAAACTACAGCGTAGGCTTCAAATTGCTATCAGCACCTACATATATGCACAACCGTAGTTTTTCATCTATACAAAACATGACTGCTAACTCCACTTTACAATCTACACTGTGCTTCAAGGCCCCCGTGTAGCAATGAAAAACTCCGTTGTAGCGTTCAAATTGATACACAGTCTACACAACACTTCAAGTTTCCATTTATGTCCATTTCCGAACTTTCACATGCGATTTAATTTCCTATGCCAAGTAGATGAACTCGAAGCAGTCTAGACTATTTGGACAAAGACGGTTACACGGCACTTCTGAGCGATGTGCCGAAGATCGCATACAATCGCCCTGGTACCTGATACAGGTTAAATTGTCAAGTTCAAGGGCTGAATATGTGCTACCAGAGCACTAACGCTTAGTCTCGGGAACAGCACGCTCTGCAGCGTGCCTAAGATGAAGCAGTCTTTTTAATTTTCTTGCGGGCTAGGGTTTTTAAGAAGATTTATGGATTATACTCAGTTACTCGAGGTTTTCCCACATACTTATAACGTGTGTTCATTCATTTGCTACATGTTCTCTGGCTAATTTCGGAGTTCTCATTGATTAGCCTAACAGCCGTCTGTGTCCGCCATCATTGATCTGTTCTACAGTAATCGGCCATCATGATCACCACACCGGTTACCCGAAATGAAGTATTTTGTGCAACTCAAAATTGTGCGAGGATAGTGAACGGAGGATGGACTTGCATAAATTTCCAACCAAGGCCGGTACCATTCGTAATGCTTCAACCTCTGTAGAGCAGACATAAAGAAATACGCTACGCCGCGTTCAATTTGCTTCTGTCCGAAGTGCACGACGGTTCCAATAGTAAAATGTGTACTAGTATTAACACAAAAGTATGACAGCTTAGTCGCCGCAACTGAACATGGTCTGAATGCAAAAATTGTTTCGCCCAACACGAAAATGGCGCGTCTTACACCTAATCCGTCTCCCACAATTTCTGCCTCGAAACAAAGAAAAGGGCCACATTTTCACACGGCCACGCAGTACTAAAAATCTTGGGAGCCCCGAACCAACTTGTTATCGCAACCGATTAAAGCATGCCTAGCCCCACCGCCCACATCCTCTTATCCACTCTACCCACTGAGGTAACATCGGTAACATCCACCGTTCTGATTGGTCAACGAAATCAGAGGCGCTCTAAAGACCGACGCACCTATACAACCGTTGCTGCTCGCCATAATCAAAGCGCGACCACAGTAGCCACAATCAGTACAGCCACATACTGGTCAAACACCATGTGCGACCTACAGAGACATCACTAAATCCCTCGATAACCGTGCTACCAACATCAGCGAAGACCAGGTGGAACTACGGGGCCTCAAGACTTATATACGCCCACGTTCCTGAGTCCAATGCCAACTCCTTAAGGGGTAAACATCTGGACGATTTAAAGCAATGGAATTTCTTTTGTGAAAAATGGGCGTTTAAGCCAACCTCGAATCATTATGGGGAGCCCCGGCTAATACGAGTAAAATTGGGATCAATGGATGATGTCGAGACGGTGCTTTTGTCGGCATACCTCACGCAGACTGGAAACAGTGGAATACGCATATTTCCGGATGCTCCATGGAGAGAAAGCCAGCGGGAGCAAGGTAATTCAAACGAACAACACAAGGAGAGTAAAAAAACGAATTATTTTTATCCATAGCTTGCCCGACATACAGCAACGAAGAAGCCCAAGCTCCTGATCTATAAAAATGGCGTTACATCCGTGAAGCTATCTGTGCGGGTGACGTCATTTTTCAGTCGATCATACGGTTACCCGTGTCGCCAAAGTACAGAAGGAGTGGCCCGAGGATACTGAGACTAACGGTGCACTCACATCAGATGGGCGTGAACTTATTCCGCAGCTGGCAGTTGAGGTGTTCATCCCTCGCCTGAATGGACGCTTGATTCCCAATCAAACTCGAAGTCGCTGGCCCCCCACAGGACAGAGAGAAGACCGGATCGGACGAGCACAGCAACAGGGATATATTAGCAAATCACATCGTTCATTATAAAGGTTAGATGGAAAGTTCGTGAATGGTATTTAAAGCGAATATGGAAAGCTCCGGAAAAGGTCAACTTACGACCAATAAAGGAACGCCGCCCTCGCGTTGATTGATGGCTTTTCCCGGTTGGTTCCCTGTTCGCCCCAATCAGGGCGGATGAGTTTGGATCGCCTGCCGCGGCCTGCCTGGCTTGTTTGTATCGCGGATTCCTTCCTAACAGCAGTTACTACCCAACAAACCTCCTTCGGAGCTACCACTAAACACAGCGGTTAGGAAGCTGCAGCCACTCGCTGTTCTCGCTCAAGCGATACCACCTGCAACTCAAGAGAACTACAACAGCGATTCAAAAAATTGTGCGCTAAGACCCATAGCTATGGATACGGCTGTCGATGGACTACATACGGCGGGTGCAAATGAGATCATGATTTGGCTCTTCACCCAAAAAACGATTAGGCGCTGGGCTCTCATCTGTCGGCACAAATCCACATTATTCCTGTGCTCCTAGTCAACAGGTTTGGATATCCGATAAGCTTTCCTGTATGTACTCTAAAGCTTACTGAGACTTACTGAGAAAAATTTCCGAAATGCGACTGCGTCAAGGATCAAAAGCCTGCGACCTCATTGTTATAACGGAGACGTGAATAGGCCCTGATATAAGTGACATGGAGATCGCACTGCCAGACAAGACCGACCCAGCAAAGGTGGAGGGGTGGCTCTGTACTTCCGCAATGAGCTCCAATGTGAGCTTATAGAGGATCCCGTCAGCACGGTGCAAGCTTCCCTTTGGTGCCGTCTGCGTTTAGAAGGCGACGACAATTGCTT